TTGTGGGACACTCTTGTGGGACACTCTCTTGTAGGACACTCTTGTAGGATACTGTTGTGGGACACTCTTGTGGGACACTCTTGTGCGATACTCTTGTAGGAAACTCTTGTGGGACACTCTTGTGAGACACTCTTGAGCGACACTGTTGCGGGACACTCTTGTGGGACACTCTTGTGGGACACTCTTGTAGGACACTCTTGTAGGACACTCTTGTGGGTCACTCTTGTAGGACACTCTTGTGGGACACTCTTGTAGGACACTCTTGTGGGACACTCTTATAGGACACTCTTGTGGGACACTCTTGTGGGACACTCTTGTAGGACACTCTTGTGGGACGCTCTTGTAGGACACTCTTGTGGGACACTCTTCTGGGACACTCTTGTAGGACACTCTTGTAGGAGACTCTTGTGGGCTTGGGGGACACTCTTGTAGGACACTCTTGTGGGACACTCTTGTAGGACACTCTTGTAGGACACTCTTGTGGGACACTCTTGTAGGACACTCTTGTGGGACACTCTTGTGAGACACTCTTGTGGGACACTCTTGTGGGTCACTTGCGGGACACTCTTGTGGGACACTCTTGCAGGAAACTCTTGTGGGAGACTGTTGTAGGACACTCTTGTGGGACACTCTTGTGGGACACTCTTGTAGGACACTCTTGTGGGATACTCTTGTCGGACACTCTTAAGGGACACTCTTGTGGGACACTCTTATAGGACACTCTTGTGGGACACTCTTGTGGGACACCCTTGTAGGACACTCTTGTAGGACACTCTTGTGGGTCACTCTTGTAGGACACTCTTGTAGGACACTCTTGTGGGACACTCTGTGGGACACTCTTGTGGGACACTCTTGTGGGACACTCTTGTGGGACACTCTTGTGGGGCACTCTTTGGGACACTCTTGTGGGACACTCTTGTAGGACACTCTTGTGGGATACTCCTGTAGGACACTCTTAAGGGACACTCTTGTGAGACACTCTAGTGGGACACTGTTGCGGGACACTCTTGTGGGACACTCTTGTGGGACATTGTTCCAGCTCCCCAGATACTCCGCGTACTGAAGTTGTACTACAAGGTCGCCAGTTCTCACCTTCCACCTCCATAGATTGCTCCGCGCGCGTAAGTTGTACTACAAAGTCGCCAGTTCTCAGCTTCCGGCGCCGGACAAATCGCACTCTCGCCTGCATTTCGCGCGCTCAACGCGCACGATCTCCGCAGAGGGTGGTGCGGGCGCCGGACAAATCGCACTCTCGCCTGCATTTCGCGCGCTCGACACACACGATCTCCGCAGAGGGTTGCGCGCGCATGGGACAAATCGCACTCTCGCCTGCATTTCGCGCACTTGACGCGCGCGATCTCCGCAGAGGGTTGCGCGCGCATGGGACAAATCGCGCTCTCGCCTGCATTTCGCACACTCGACGCGCACGATCTCCGCAGAGGGTTGCGCGTCAAGTCTCCAAAACGAGCGTTTCGTACGAGACTTCCTCAAAAACTCGCGCGTCAAAGTCTGCAAAACGAGCGTTTCGTACGAGACTTCCTCCAAAAGTCAAGCGAAACACCCATCGGAGCACACACACACACACTTAGGATAGGGTGTACTGAACTGAAAGCGGTGCCACACGCCCGCCTAGGGTTCCAATTCCTAAGGGAACAAGTACGAACCACGGGAACCTGGAGGACTTTAAGAGGAAAGAAGGCCCAAAGCGGAAGAAACCCATCGACGATCGCGGATCGAGCAGGCTGACGACGTTCGTTCATGTCTGCCGAGTGCATTTGCCCTTTACCAAAGGTTTAAAAATTGCGCAGGTACAAGTGGTTGATCAGACCACTCATCCGCCGAAATGCCATAGCTTCGTTGGACTGGATAGGCAAATCGGCTCCAGTCCCCCTGCTACACAAGGAAAACAACTGTGAAGCGAAAACAATCCGAAAGGATCCCTATGATTCCAAGGGTTACACACACACACACATCACGCAGCCCTGCCAAGCAGTTTCGCGATTCCAGCCCCTCCAAACAACGTCCGCTCACACGCCAATCCCAATGTGACAGCGACATTCACCTCTACCACAACTCACAACCTCACGATTCCCTGCGCCTGCCACGAATCTTTCCGCGTCCACACGTCTAACGCGCGCAAAGTACTGCGCCTGCCACGAAATGTCACCTCCGTCACACCTCGCAACCTCACGATTCCCTGCGCCTGCCACGAGAATCGCATTTCCACGCCTCAAAACCCGCACAAAGTCCTGCGCCTGCCACGAAAAGTGACAATATCATCTCGTGTGAACTTCAACAAAATTTGCACCGCACCACACGTTTGGAATGATTTTGACCCGTTCTGAGCACACTCCCATCCACCAAAATCACCATTTCAGCTGAGACTTGTCACGAAAACCGAGCTTCGATGCCACACCCTGAAACGCAAATCCCAATGGCACGGCCACATCCAACACCCCAAAAACACGACTCTCCAAACGCTAATCCCAATGGAACTGCGCAGCAATCTGCGGATCTCACAAAACGCTGCGCAGCAATCTGCGGATCTCTTCTCACTGTGAAGAGAGAAGGAAAGAAAGAAAGAGAGAGGGAGAGAAAGGGAGAGGAGAGAAGAAAGAAAAAAAGGCAGGTGTTCCCAGCTACGAACAAGCGTCCAGGGACACACCAAAGAAAGAGAGGGGTGATCCTGAGTGTTGCATTCAGGAAAACCCCAGGAAGCAAAGAAAGAAAGGGGGAAGGGAAGGGGGAGAAGGGGGCTAAGGTCCCAACAAGAGGGAGGGGTAGGGAGAGACGAGAAAGAGGAGAGGAAAGAAAGGAAGGTGTTCCCAGCTACGACGCATGCGTCCAAGGACACACCAAAGCAAGAGAGGAGAAGGTACCCAGCTATGACAAAAGCATCCAGGGACACCCAAGGAGGGAGGAAGGAGAGAGAGAAGGAAAGAAAGAGAGAGGGAGAGAAAGGGAGAGGAGAGAAAAAGAAAAAGGCAGGTGTTCCCAGCTACGAACAAGCGTCCAGGGACACACCAAAGAAAGAGAGGGGTGATCCTGAGTGTTGCATTCAGGAAAACCCCAGGAAGCAAAGAAAGAAAGGGGGAAGGGAAGGGGGAGAAGGGGGCTAAGCTCGCGACAGGTTCCAATGAACCTTGAACAAACTTCGGTCGCTGCGACCACGTACGGCGTGCCCAGGGGCTGCCATCTTTGACCGCTACGGTCACGTAAAGGCATGAGCCAGCTTAGAATTCCAAAGATGGGACAAAATCGTCGTACGTACGGCCTAGGCCACCTACGCTCGCTGCGAGCTGCTCTGTATCCGGGCAGTGGATACGTTCGACGTACACCCGTTCGACGGGTCCACGGGAGGCACTCTGCGGGCTCATCCCGGGTTGGCACGAGGCCAACCGCACTTAGGATAGGGTGTACTGAACTGAAAGCGGTGCCACACGCCGGCCTAGGGTTCCAATTCCTAAGGGAACAAGTACGAACCACGGGAACCTGGAGGACTTTAAGAGGAAAGAAGGCCCAAAGCGGAAGAAACCCATCGACGATCGCGGATCGAGCAGGCTGACGACGTTCGTTCATGTCTGCCGAGTGCATTAGCCCTTTACCAAAGGTTTAAAAATTGTGCAGGTACAAGTGGTTGATCAGACCACTCATCCGCCGAAATGCCATAGCTTCGTTGGACTGGATAGGCAAATCGGCTCCAGTCCCCCTGCTACACAAGGAAAACAACTGTGAAGCGAAAACAACCCGAAAGGATCCCTATGATTCCAAGGGTTACACACACACACACATCACGCAGCCCTGCCAAGCAGTTTCGCGATTCCAGCCCCTCCAAACAACATCCGCTCACACGCCAATCCCAATGTGACAGCGACATTCACCTCTACCACAACTCACAACCTCACGATTCCCTGCGCCTGCCACGAGAATCGCACTTCCACGCCTCAAAACCCGCACAAAGTCCTGCGCCTGCCACGAAAAGTGACAATATCATCTCATGTGAACTTCAACAAAATTTGCACCGCACCACACGTTTGGAATGATTTCGACCCGTTCTGAGCACACTCCCATCCACCAAAATCGCCATTTCAGCTGAGACTTGTCACGAAAACCGAGCTTCGATGCCACACCCTGAAACGCAAATCCCAATGGCACGGCCACATCCAACACCCCAAAAACACGACTCTCCAAACGCTAATCCCAATGGAACTGCGCAGCAATCTGCGGATCTCACAAAACGCTGCGCCTGTGCAGCGAAATGTGCAGCGAAATGCATTACGTTTCTTGTGCGACATGTCATTGTCATGCAAATCACAATGGAGTAGCGGCGCAAACTGACACGTGACACATCCATGCAAAGTCACTTGCAAAAGCTTCCCCCAATGGCAGCGAATTTGAGACGCAACGACGACGACAAACGACGAGACGACGCAAACCATGCAAACATATTTCCAACCCCCAGACCCCCAACTATAAACGGGAACCCTTCGCTACGCATTTGGGAAAAAAAAGTGTCTTTGAGGGAGTGATAGCACTGTGAAACCCAGAGTTCTTCGCAAGATGTGCATGTTTAGGTTCTGGTGGGGGCCTGGGAGGGCCTCAAACCTGTCCCTCCTAACTCCTCGGCAGGATCTCTCGCAGAAGATCGTCTGAGGCTGAGGATTTTGTGAGATTGGTGGTCACAGGAGTTGGTGAAAGACCTTCACAACTGTGTGTGCAGATGCTGAAGAAATCCTCACTGTGAGCATTTTTCAGGTCAAGAATAGGCTCATTCCAGGATGCTTCTGGCTCTGAGATGTTGGGCATCAGGATTTGCTGCGTTTCTTTAGCCAAAGTACAGCATTTCTGAAACAGGAATCCGCGCCACTCAATGCTGGGCTTCACTTGAGAACGCCACAATGTGCACATCTTTACGTGGGACTCAGACACGAGACATGTTGTAAGTTGTAATTGAGCAGCCATGAAGTCACTAGAAGATGCCTCAGATTCCTTAATATGCCTTAGGTGTTTGAGTACGACAATCCACTTGAGCCTCGTGCCATGGCGAGACTTCTGGGCTTCGGTTTGGCCCTGGTGGTCGCTGGAACGGCTTGGACGGCTTTCTGCGGTTGGGCCACCTCTGGCCTTTCCTCGCGGAGTGGGACGGCTCTGTGGGCACAGCCCAACTTCGGAGATATTTTGGGATCTGTGGGCAAAGTGGGTGAAGCGATGAAGAAGATGCCCGAAGCTTGGCAAAGAAGACGGGGAGTCATGTCAGTTGGCCGGTTTCGATTTTTTTCGATCATTCTTCCCACTCCTGAAGCCTTGAGTAGGACAAGGTGGCAAGACATGGCAAGACCGTGCCGTTTTTCACCTGAATGACTCGGCTGGCATCGGTGCCTTTCCATGCCCGCGACTTTTGGACGGACCAGCACTCCTCATTTTTTTCCTCGTCACTTCAGCCACGGTGTCTAAACATCATCCTCCACAGAACGGGGCGATCTATACCGGGATCTCCAGCCTGGCCGGACTTGGATCTTCCACCATTCCCAGGAGCTACAGAAACGTCTCCGCGAAACGCCCTCCACGGGCTCTGCGCTTGGGGGAAAGGTCAAAGTGACTTTGAGTGGCTTGGCCTAAGACATCGGAGGTTTTAGAGTAGGAATGACGAAGTTACCAATCCTAGGCAGATCACACCTCTTCAATCTTGCAAAATAAGGTTGAACTTCAATTTCATGATAATATATATATATATATTTTTTTTTTTTTGAATTCATTAGATGGACATCATCAAGGGTGTTCTGCGCACTATTTTGGTAAGTCTGCCAGAAAATGCGTGCTGCATCTTTTTGATCGTGGATGGACATTACAACGAAACAGCATGCAGGTTCAATTGTCTTCACTTTATTGAATTTTAATGTCTTAAGCAAAGAAGACACCCAAATGTGGGTTACTGGTAGCGTGAGGTGGCGATTTGGCTCCGTTGAGTGTTGAGATGGATGAAGAATTGATGGAAGAAGGCGGCACGGGATGGGCCGAACTCTTTCACTCTATCGTACATATAGCTTTCTTGAGCAATCAGGCCCTCTTGATGCTGGTCTCGGTGTGATTGATTTGCAGTCTCGGTTTCCAGCTGAGAAATGTTGTAATCAAGTCGTGGCTGGGCTCCTTTCCCACCAAGAGAACACATCCGCGACCCGACCAGCTTGGCAGTGGTACGGCAGGTTTGACTAGCAAGGTCTTGGCGGATGCGGTCTTCGTGGCAATTAAGGAAGTCTCTTGCCCAGCTGAAATGGATTCAAGCCGGCCTGTAATCAGAGCAATGCTGTTTTTCAGGGACTGAGGTGACTCTTGGGTAGCTGAAGTGGATTTGACCAACCAATCGTGCTCCACAGTAGGAAAAGTCACTCAAGAGTCTCTACTTGTGGAGCGGGAAGTGGTAGGGCTTTGTGCAGTCAAGGCAAGGTCTTTTGTGTCCTTGTCCGAACATGTTGCTGCAACAGCTGAGGCACACAATGCATCCTTAGAACTCTCCAGGAGAAGCTGGCCGGTCACAATTGACAAAGCACAGAAAAGCCTTCTCCTTTTTTGTCGCCGTCGAAGGGATGAGTCAACCAAGCAACACAACAAAAGCAAGGGCTAATGCGATCTTTCTGCTGGGTCAGAGACACACAAGATCAACTCTTGGCCGCAAGCCTGCCCTCCAAGCTGGTTATGGTCTTCATTGGGGTCCTCTCCGAGTGAATGCCAGATTTTCCATGTTCTAGGCGCTTGAGGTAGATTTGCCCCTACACACACATTGGCACAGTGGGTTCGGCAGTTCCAAAGACAGAAGATTTGACAGATTTTCTCATCATCCCTCAAAAGCTGGTGGTCTCCAAAACAGGACTGAGCTGTCCAAGTTCTACAAGGAAATGGGGATGCCTGTGCCTGGTGCTGGAGGTGGCTTGGAATGCAACAGGGGGCAGGACAAGTGAGCGCAATCTGATAGGATAACCAAAGAGAGCCACGTGCTTACATTGGGGGGGAGGAACTGGATAAATGATCCTGCATACAGTGCTGAAGACGAAAGGCCCGCACCTCTGTTGCCCACACACACACACATGACCCTTCAAGTCAACCTTTGCCGATGGGGCAGAGCATCTGACCAGCCACCCTTGCCTGACAGGTGATTCGAAGCCTTCGCTGTCGGTGGAAACGCCCAGGCATGCCTGGCGTGGGCGGTGGCCTCCCAGCGAAGCCAGCGGCACCCGCCGCCCCGGCGCCACCGCCGATGGAGTTCGACCCGGCAGGGATTGGACCACGCATTGTGGACTAAGGCAGCAAGGGAGGTCACTGAATTCAAGAGTTCTTTTTGATTGTTCCAGGACTTTGGGTGACATGGTTTCTTGGCGCTTAATGCTCAGCACTGCGTGATTCGTTGGCGCACGCGTTTGGTTTGTCCAGGCGCACCACCGCGCAGGCCGTCGCAGGCGACCTTGACATTCTGCACACCGCGGTGGGCCATGGCCAAACTTCTCCTGTGAGGATTCAGATCAGGGCTGGCCAAAGCATGCAGTCATGGCTTACAATCATGCTAGGTCCGCTGTTAGGGGATGAACTGCAGAAGCTCCATGTTGGGCGGTTGTTGCAGTTCCCTGCTCTGCCTAATGACCGCACGAAAACTCAAAAACAGCCACAAGTGACAAGGGCCAGCCTTGAACATGGATCGGTAGATGGATGAGTGGATGAGGTTTCTGCGAGCTTCGGAGAAAAGGCGGACTTGCGGCTAGAGATGAAATGGCAGTGGGTCAAAACCCAGAGCCGAAACCAGGGTAGGTTGACCTTCCAGGCAGTCTATTCTGTTCATTCTCGGTGGTCAACCAGGGTGTCCCGGTTTCGACCCACAGCACACAATATGCAAGGGGGGCAATGTGCTGCCCCTTACCGTCGGTATAACCTTGAGGGCTATAGCGGCTATGAGTTGTGCCAACTCGTGGCACCAGCGGTCTGTTGCAACCACTTGGTTCTGCAACCTTGCAGGAGGTGTTGTTTGGTGTTTTAACCAGCAACTTCGCGCTTAGCAACCTGAAGAAAAGAGGCCACTCACCAAGGAGATCCCTAGCACTCGCAACGCTCGCCGAGGAGGAGAAGCCTCTGGAGGCTTTTTGCCTGTCGATCCAATCTCGCATGGGCCCCAGCCAAAAGACCTTGCAGCTACGAAAGCGAAACAGGTGAGTGAGTTGTGTTTTTCCCCAAGCAGTTTACTGACGGGGTTCTCTCTCTTGGGAAAACACTGGCCACAGTCTGGCCGCGCCCCTGAACAATGTGTCCGGGTGTTGTCCTCCTGTTGTCCTCTTCTTATCCTCCAGTTGTCCTCCTGCTGTCCTGTAGCCGCGTCGCTGGCGAACCCTATATACATACTTCTTTTTCCTTCTTGTGTTCTCCTGCTGTCCTGTAGCCGCGCTGGCAAACTGCTGTGTCCTCCTCTTGTCCTCCTGCTGCCCTCTTGGTGTCCTCCTGCTGTCCTCTGGCCACGCTCGCGAACCCTTTTGTCCCCCTGCTGTGCTTTGGCCACGCTTGCGAACTTTGTGTCAACCTTCTGTGTCCTCCCCTTGTCCTCTTGCTGGCGAACCCTAGAAAGAAATGGCTGGCCATGATAGCTGTGGTCCGGGGCTTGTCCAGGCCTTGTCCGCTGCGCTGCTGTGGGCCATGCGTTGTACTTTTTTCAGGCTTTGTCCAGGTCTGCTTGGCAGCGCCGCCTTGTCCAGGGCATAGGTATCAAAAAAGAACAAAAAGAGCATCAAAACAAAAAAAACCGGATAAGCAAAAATAACAAGCGAATCACAAAATCAATATTCCTTGATAGGCCTCTTCTGCTGCTCTCCTGGCCTTGTGGTCTGCCGGTCCTCTGGTAATGTGGTCCCTTGGTCCTTTGGTCTCTTGGTCCTCTGGTCCACTTGGTCCTTTAGTCCACTGGTCCCCTAGTCCTCCGGTCTCCTGGTCCTCTGGTCCTGTGGTCCGCTGGTCCCCTGGTATCCTAGTCCTTCTGTCTCCTGGTCCGCTGGTCTTTTGCTCTCCTACGGCGCTCGTCTGTCGATCTCCTGGTCCCCTGCTTGCGCAAATAGAGGCTTGATTGCTTTCTACTAGAGGCAGTTCCCTGGGAAGAAAGTAGGTACCCAACGATAAGGTAGCCGTCCAGTCATTGAGTAGCCCCACTCGAAAAATGGTTCACCAGTGGAAATAGCTCCCTACTAGGAGGGAGCTCTGGGGAGGTACACTCTCCTAGTCCCCTACTTCTTCCATCCTCTTCCCTTCGTCTCCTATTGGTCCACTCAGAGACAACTGTCTTACAGAAATTGTAGTCTAGCATCGTGAGGTACTGTAATTGTTTTGATCCTGTTCTTTTCTACTGCTACTACTACTACTACTACTGCTGCTACTGCTACTGCTACTGCTACTGCTACTGCTACTGCTACGCTGGTGCTGCTGCTGCTGCTGCTGCTACTGCTACTGCTAGTGCTACTACTACTACCCCAACCATCCTCAGTGGGCTAGAATATTAATTTTTTGATTACCTTTTACTTTTTTATTGATCCCCGTTGAATATTTTTTTGATTCTATTTTTATTTTTATTTTGATCCCTTACCCCAGGCCTTGTTCAAGTCTTGTCCGGGTCCGTTTGTCCTGCTTGGCCACGCCCCTTTCCCTTTCTCCACCGCCTTGTCCGGGCATGTTTTCGTGTGGCTATGAATGCAACACTAGTGCAGGGTTTCAATTTTGATATCATCATCGATTTTCTCACCACATGTATCCCTTTGTTTTTGCACATGTGACAATCAGCAACTATTGATTTCAATCAATGCCATTCCCAAACAGCTGGAAGCTATATATAGGCATGCGTTTACAGAGGTTACCACCGACATTGGAATTCAAGGAATTGACGCCAAAAATGCTGAAACAGTTTGTGTCTCTGCTGCCATAATCTTTTGAAAGTGATTCTGGGTGCATTAAGGCGGCTTGCGTAATGCTGGTAATGGAAGCTAGAGAGATGGGATTCCTGAGAGATCATCAATGAGGGATCCGTCCTCCCTCTTCTGAGGAAGGTAGGCGAAGGTATCCAAAATCCTAGTAAACGGAGTAGTATAGATAGGACCTCCTTTGGATCATGGAAAATTTTGGTCATACTCGAGTCCCTTTACATTAGCGACTTAATATAAGCTTGGCCGCGGCCGGGACCTCTTTCGTGCCCCAGACTGCTGAGCCACAGCCCCTTCGATGTTGCTCTTCAGCAAAGCCTTTCGCCTTTGTTTCAAGGAGTGCAAGCACTGCTCGGCGATCCACAAGCCGGTGTCAAGGCCCACACCACGATGCCATTCATGCCGTGCTGACCAGTACATTAATTCCATTGTATACTTGGTTTTGGTTTGCCCTTACACTTTAGACTCAGGAAAATATCCCTGAGTAGTACTAGTACTGCGCTAAGAAAAGCAGATGGACCCCCAAGAGAAGGCACCCCCTGTGGTTGAAACAGCACGTGGATCCGGCACACCGATGGCCCAATCTTGGCATGCTCCTTCGCAAGCATCGGCAGGCCGCGGACCTTGCGATCGACATGTTCCGCGAGGACGGCGATAGGCCAGTGGGGCGATCTGTTCGTTCAATGGGTTTGTTGCCATCAGAGGTTGTCACAAGCGCTGGTGGATACTTGAGAATTGGTCAGGTCTTGATATAGAATTTTGCAGTGTTCTGAGGGAATTTTCCTACAGAAGGGGTTGTAAGGCCTCATGGGTGAAGAGTGCTCTTCCTGGAGCACGCAGGGTAGGATTGTATATTGTGTTGCGCTTTCATTCCTTTCACCTCCCAGATATGGATGTTGGCTTGATTTCACCTACCTCAGTTCAAGCAATGATGGGAGCAGCGCACAGTGTTTCTTTGGCACGGTAAACTGGAGAACTCGATGTGGAAAACTCCTTGCAGGAGAGGTGAATGCCGTGTTTGGGAAGGCCTTTCCGAGCGTGGACCTCAGACGGAATTTGGAGTTTGTTTGCGAGACGAACATCGTGGAACATCGTGGAACGCCCGTCTTGATTTTTGGAAAGTGGATCTCTTTCCCAACACCTGCCACATACTTTTGGCAACTTAAAAGTAGGTGACCACCCATGGGTTGTAGGGGGCTCTCATATTGAGAAAGACCCAAATGCACCAAGCTTGCAAAGTGTTGACTATACATTGGCGGGGGCTGAAGACTACCCAAGTGCAGGTATCCTAGTTCAGGTATCCTAGTCACAACACAGAGTCATTCTGCCATTCTGAACGGTACTGGAGTCCGCATCTCTGCATGTGACTTGAGGATCCACATGACTGCCAGTGACTTCGCATCAGCCTTGCGTGCGGCCAAGCGGGCGGAGGCAGGGGCGGGACAGGCCTGCAAGGCCTGAAACAGCCTGAAACAGGCGCAGCTTGGATGGCCTGAAAGGACCCAAGGGTCCTGCTCTTTGAGCTGTTTTTTTGACACTTACTTGATAAAAGCTAAATCGGGATGTCATTCTGATTGGTGCATGGAGGCCACCGGATATCATGGGACTGGGGATGAACACCCGATATGTGTTCCTCTCAACAGACGATCGACCTGAGCCTGCCTCAAAACAGGAATACGTGTTTCGTGTGTCGAACTTTGTTCTGTTCGGACCCATTTGGCACTTGCGAGAGAGGTCTCATTTCTGCCAGCTCCATTTTTCTCCCAGCTGTTCCTACTTCTCCCACCGGCGCAGTCTCTTTGTGAAGAAGTTGGTGATACCCGGCTGATGGCGAGGATGAAGCGGCACGCTCAGCTAGGGTCTGGGTCTGGTGGGCTCTTTGCAAGCTCTTTTTGGGTGCGCTGGCCCCGATGTTTCAACTAAGGGGACACCCTCCATAAGGACCCATGGCCAGACCAATCAAAGGGATGAATTCATCGATGTGCAATCGATAGTTCCATGAGTGACCTCACTCGGAGTCCTATCAGCGCCTCTGCAGAAGGTTTAAGCCAAGCCGCCTCAAGACACCTTCCATGGTGAAAGGCATGGTTTTTCAACACTTTCAACCTTTGCACGCTCCTGTCTGCCTCTGAGGCATACCACTTCAATGGTGCACATGTCGGCAGATGAACATCAGGAGGCTGGACCGACTACCGAGCCGAGAGTCACAGGTTCAGGTCAGATGAAGTCGTGGATCATTTAGATTGGTAGATATGATTCTACAAGACTCCTAGTAGTAGCGTCCTTGCTCCTAGTAGTACGGCCAGGAGCCCCTAGTAGCGTCCTTGCTCCTAGTAGCGATGCCAGGAGCCCCTAGTAGCTTCTTGTATATGGAGCAGAAGGAAGACGCACAAAACCAGTAGGAACGTGGCTTCCCCGAGGCCCTTTCGGCCATCACCGAAGCCATCAAGCTGTCTCGAGCTGATGATGACATGCGAGGGTCCAGCACTTGGTTGAAGCAAACGGGTAGAGCAGGTTGGAACATTGTGGCCATAGCAGCAATTTGAGCTTGGGGAGGATGTCTTACCAGAAAGAAAGACTCAACCGCGACGCCTGCCGCCTTTTGAATAGTTTTTTGCAGCTATTCCAATGGCCAATGGCTGTCGTCAGTTCAGGATAGAAAGATGCACGGATTGGGGTGCATTTGCACACGCTCACCTC